AATGTGCTAGGGGGCCTTAGTGCGTATGGGAGAAACATCGATTCTCTGCATGTCTTCCTCATTCACCTCGAGACCCTGTCGCCGTCCCGACTTCCCACCCACTAGGAGCGCAGCTATCTGCAGATATGTATATGCATATCCCGCCCCTCGAAGCGGCTGGCCCCATATCCTGTCGTCCAACGACCCTCTTTCTTTTCCCACTTCGTCTCGACGACAAGCTGGTTCCCAAATAAGACCCAGCGATCATCTCTCCACCCCATCTCAGCCCCTCCATTCCACGTCGGCTTTCCCAGTGATCAGCCTTTCCCTTCTTCTTGAGCGGACCGCAACGGTCTTGATCTTCAGAAGACTCCTCGCCCGCTTCCCTGTCTCATGTATCTCGACATTGGTCACTCGTCCTTGAGAGAGATATCATTTGACTGCCGTCCTTTCTTTTCCTCCCTGCTCGACCTCACACACCGTTCGACATCCCGTAGCTCTCACCAGACTCAACGATTGATCGACAACTCAGGCCGTCCAGATTCTATCCTGTCGCCACCGCACCAGCATTCCACCTTCGACGCATCGCTTTAACAACTGGCCACCAGAATCTCACCGGTTTTGAACATTTCGTGTTGGCATGGTCTCGCTAGTGACGAGCCATGGATTCTACCTCTCTCTCAATGGTTTCGGACGACGGGGATCTCTCATGGTCGGACCACCACAGTAACTCTTCAGACGACAACATGCAAGACGACATGCTGCTTCCACACCAACCAACCTCCCAAACGGCAGCGGCCTGGATGGCCTCGACCAGCATTCCTCACTCTCTCTCCGGGCAGCTGTCTCCCGTCAGCGCCGCCGTAAATATTCCCCATTTAGAGCCGTCCGGCGACCCAACAATCGTACACTCCGCATCCTCGTCCTGCACCGATTCCTGGAGCACTGGCCACGCCGATACGTGCGATGGAGACGATGCTGACAACGACATTGTATGGGAACAGGAGTCGGACGACACTCTTGCCATCATACCTAAAATAGAACCCATGGACGACGACGATCTAAAGCTGGGCGATGTTAAGGAGGCCCCATTAGCGCAAACTGGAACTACCTCGGTCTCGGCCACAAACTCACTGAAGCAGAAGCGACCCCGAGGAAGACCACGCAAGCATCCTGTAGCATCCATCATCAACCAGAGTAAGGTGACCAAGGGTCGATCCAAGACGGGCTGCATTACCTGTCGGAGACGGAAGAAGAAGTGTGACGAGGCGAAGCCGAGATGTAAGTGTCACTGCTGTATCACTCACTGCTTGGGACTTTTTTCCCTGACATGTGAGCAGGTATGAATTGCGAGAAGAATGCCGTTGTCTGCGAGGGCTATCATGAGAAGAAGCTATGGAGAAGCGGCAAAGAGAAGGCAACAATTGGTAAGTGCTCGCTTATGAATCCAGCAAATATGTTGATGGTCTAACTCGGAAGAAGATCACGTTGGGGACGAGGAGTCGCTCGTTTTCACCATGCAACCTCTTTTCAACGGCGTCGACACGATCGAGGACAAGATATTCTGGAGACACTACGGCGTCCACCTCAGCAACGTTCTGACTGTTGAGGGAGAAGCCAAGAATGCCTTTAAGGACATTATTCTTCCTTTGGCAAACCTTCACCAGGGCGTGATGCACTCGATCCTGGCCATGAGTAGCAAACACATCGACTTTGATACACCGTACGGCGCCAAGTTACTCGAGAGAAATCCGACAACCACCCTAGAAGCGCTACAGGCCCGGTCAGCATATCACGAGGAACAAGCGATGAAGACTCTGTACGCCGACATGAACCGTTCGGCGGAGGAGGACATTGATGATCGCGAAACAATCTTGTCGGCTCGCTACGCCCAAATCCTTTGCCTCCTGGTCACCACGCTGATTGAAGGTGAATCTCATGGAGCGCATCGTGTTCACCTAAGCGGATACAAGCAATTGATCCAAGAGAGCCCTCCGGAGGATCCTGTCTTCCTGGCCTTCATCAGCGAATTCTTCCAGTATCACATTTACGCAGACGAACTCCTCTGGCATCCCGCGCCCAACCGTCCACGCTTGGCTTCCGAAGACTGGAGCCCCTTGGTTCCGTTGGACTCGCCTCGTCTTCTGGGTGTTGCTGATGGCCTGTTTCAACATCTCTGCCAGATAACCACAATCCGAAACGTCATCCGGGATAACATTTACAGACGCGCCGAGACTGTCGTGACGTATCACGTTCTGTACCGAGCGCAGGAGATTCAAGAGGCTATTGAGCAATGGATGCCTCTTTGGCCACCAGGTGATAGCCGTCACAGAGTTGGGCTGGTTTACAAACACATGATGTTCCTGCATCTCTTCCGCACAATCTACCCTCCTACCTCTCCAGAGAGACGGCCCTCCGTCTACTCTATAGCTACATCTGTCGCCACCTCAACCTCGTCGTCTTCCTCCCGCCGGCATTCGCAAATTTCTAGGCCGTCCACGGCCACGAGCTGCGCCTCGTCTCCCGGCCTGAGGCCCAGCATGGGTTCTGGGTTCCCCTCTTCGATGCAGCTCAAACGGGAGCCAAACTCTCGAGGACCGTCCAGGACGAGCTCGATGCATGAGTCCGATGCCGGGTCCTCTAGCTGCGCTGTGATTGATGAACAACGCCCAGCCTCTCCACCGCCGGTTCGCCGCCCGCAGCAGCATGACAATCGCATCACTGCTGCGGTGGACGAGTCTCTATCGATCATGGAGGGATTCAAGCCATCCGACCCAGCTCTTACCCTTTTGCTGATGCCGAGTCTGGTCATTGGTACTACATGCTTCGACCCCACACAGCAAGAGCGACTTCGAGGCATCATCCGGTCGGTCCGGGGCTACACTGGTCTTCGCAACTGCGATAGAGTCCTCGAGGTCCTGGAAGAAGTCTGGCACCTCATGGAGTGTGGCGAGTGGATTGCTGTCTGGGACTGGCAGAGCGTTGCCAGACGCCTCGGACTTGATTTCTTGTGCACCTGAACTACATTAGCCAGTTCACGGCGGATGGCGCCTATCCATCCGCGCTGTTCTTGTACTCGCCAGATGCTCTTCTCACTATCTTCTTTATTGCCTTCATCCCGGTATACCCGCGCGTTGTATTCTTTCTTCTCTCGTCCTTTCTCTCTCTCACTCACACTCTTCTCTTTTCCTCCTCGGATCGGCACTACTGTGGTCGGAGTTACTGGGTGAAGCATGTCATGGGGGAGCGACATCATGTACAGGGGCCACTTGCATTCCGGCTTCGCACGACGCCATGGGATTGGGATGGGCAACGGGCGGGCGGAGCGATTGATGAACCTTGGCGTCCTAGACAACAAGACGGGATGGCAGTCGAAAAATTGCTAACTTGTCATCACGTTGATCCTTTTTTTTTCTCCCTACTCTCCGCACGGCGGCGTTTCCCTTTCTTGTATTTTTGAGGGTCGGCTGCCAGTCTTTTTTTTTTTTTTTCTTCCCCTATATTTTCTTCTTCTCTCTTGTGGTTTCGTATTGGCTTTTTGGGTTAATGGGACAGACAAGGAAACTGTCTGAATCTGGGCGGCTCGGACTCTGTTCCGATTTGAAATTTATCGCAACAACTGTTATGCTCGTTTGAACGGCTTCCCCCGGAATTTGGCTCCAGGGAAAGTCGGTGGCGATGCATGCAAGTACTATATGAGCCAGTATTATCATGGCACTGGAGGAGTATGGTCGCAACACAATACAATCTGCGCTGGTTGCGCCTCTCCTCACTCTTTTACAATTGCCTCTCGCCTCGCATTGTGTGTCCTATGCCTGTTGCCAGCCTTACAGTACAGAGGTATGGTATTTCGTTAATTAGACGCATAAGATGGAGCAGCGGCGTCATCCACTGCCGCCCCCCCCTCCCCTCCCTTGGACGACTTTGAATGATCCGACATTCGCATCCGAAGCGTGGCCGTGGGTGCATGTTCGGACAAAAACGATGGGTTGTGCAGTGAAGATCCCTATTTGCCGACACGGCCGTGAGAGCCGAATTATCCCACCCACTCACTATGGGGCCCATCCCTTTGCTCTGCAGCTAGGTTCATGTACTCTCTACTGTTCATTGTACCTTGAATGATGACTAGAAGTAAGAGGGAGTTCAGATACAACGGACGCTGATCATTACATCTGGAACCACTTCGGCCACTGCCTGGCCCGTCTCTCGAGTCTCGACTTTCTCTCTCCAGCGGTTCTAAAGACGGACATTGTTCTCCCGTTGGATGGGCGCCGGCGGTCGATGTGGATGGATCATGGACGAGAGGGACCGGGGTGTCGGGGTCAGGTTCAGGGTCAGGGTCGTGGTGTGTAGTGGGGGCGCCGGGGGGGGCGTACGCGACTACTGTACGTCTGGATATGGGATAGTTGGAGACTTGACTTGGAGTTGCTTTGAGATGCTGCAGGGAAATGGAGCTGCTGCACAGCTGAGGACCAAGAAAAGTTTCAATCTTTGCCTTCAATCTGAGTCGGCAGTCTCACACTGGGCGAGAGGATACGCAGTACGGAGGAGGGTGAGGAGCCAACCTCGCCACAGCTTGCAGAGACCCCTCTTCCTCCAGGCAGGCCTCCAAGCTCTCTTCCTCAACTAGGTATTCTTTTTCCCCCCTGTTGATAGCCATCACTGGGGCACTGGCACGGTGCAGTTGGAGCTACGAGCGAGCCGTCCAGGGGGGGAGAGGAGGGGACGCGATGGCGCGCAATCTACGGGACCAGGCCAGGGGAGCTTGGAGAGCCTAGAGGGGCGTTGTCACGTTGGAGAGATTTGGGGGCCCTTTCACTAATTCCCGTTTGTTCTTGGCCCAGGGTATTTATCTGTACGTCTGAGGCATGGACGGGGGATTTTTTGGGTACTATGTGAGATAGCATTGATTGCTTTTTTCGTATACTTCCTCCGGAGTAGATTGATCTCGGCCGTTGATTCCTTTGGTTGACCTACCTTACCCACTGCTACAGTACTATCCAGGCAGCCCAGTAACTGTTATGCTCCGAGGGGGCAAAGTGCTTGCGGAGGACACCCATTTCGTAGACGTCGGATACTCGGGCGGGAAAGGCTGCCGTGGTGCGTTGCTTGCCCCAATTCATCCTCACCTTCCGCTGCAGCGTGTATCCAGTCGGATATCGGATGATTTGGGGTATTGCTGGTGGCGGCGGTGGTGGTGGTCCGCTGGAGACAGCGAAAGAAAGTGGTGCGACCGTTGGGAAAGCGGAGAGGCTCTCCGCAGTTCATTTTGCTCCCCTCCAGGGCCCCCAGGAAGTCCCCGAGGAAGAGAAGGAGGATGGATCTGGTGGGAGCATTGAAAGGGAAAGGGAGTGAGAGCAAACGCCGCTACACACTACGTAGAAAAGGCCGGGTATGTCGCTGTCAACGTTGGACCAATCTACCGTGCCACCGTCCACGTCGCACAGAACCGTCGGCCGGTGTTTGAAGGGTATCCCCCGGGACGGCGCTTCGGGAAGGTCGGCGGCGCGCTGCGGGAGAGAAATGGCGCGGGGGTGCGATGGTGGTGGTGGATGGTGGTTGGTGGTTGGCTGGTAAATCGGTACGTGCTTTTCATCTTCAAGGATTTGCTTTTTTGCTTTTTTCCATTTTCTTTCCTCCGCATCGCCTCATCTACCTTAACCCAGTCTCCTTTCTTTTTTCCTTACACCTGCAGAGTCTGAGGGTACTATCCCAACGTCTCGAATTCGAGACATGCAGAAACAACTTGAACCAATGAGATGCGGTAGGCAGTAGGTAGGTATTCGCGCCCAGTGACAACGCCTGGCGAGGTGGTGTCTTGAGATTCGACAAGGGACAGGCCTGGTCAGACCATCAAAGTCGTGATGTCGTCGAACATGGGGAGAGGGGGGGAGGTCTCCACTCCAAGCGGCGTTATCTGATGGGCTGCTCATTGCTACATAAAGTACATTGTCGCGAGATTGAGCTGGAGCAGCGGTGCATACTACACCGTACAGGGCCCCGAGGTGCCGAGCCACGATGGTAACGAACGAACGATTGGTATCCACGGAATAGCAGAGTTTGGGCGTGCATTACAGCAAGGGTAGGTTTACATTGATGGCTACAAAAGTCATGGGATACAAAAGAAATCTTTCGAGCTGCTGCAATCTACAGTGCAATCGGCAATCGTACAGGGGGACAGGTGCAACTTGTCGCAATGTCCCTCTCCTCTCCCCGAGCCAAAGAGCCCAGGATCTATTCGCAAACGTGCTCTATCTTACAGGTTGGGGTCGTCGCATTCCCAGCCACGCATTATTGTGCCTGCGAACGCGCATGTCGCATCTGGATGGGCCACACATCCAACTCTCAGCTACTCCATTCGATGGACGACACGTAGCTGGCAAGCCGGTGTCATCCTGTTCGTCTCTTCAGGCTTCATCCCATATCGGCCGAGTCCATCGACCCAGTCGCATAATCGATCAGCGCCAGATCTTTGTCCGATCTAAGGGTCGCCCTCGAAGTTGATAGGTCATGGTGGGCCATAGGATCGGACAATCAGATCTGAGCTCGCGTCATACTGTCCCATCACAGTCACTCGGTTTCGTCTCGTAAGGTAGCTCGGCTCTTGAATGTGGCAGCCTCGATGGTGGACTCCGCATCGCCATCGGGCTATTGACGACCTGGCCATACCAGACTCAGGCTCAGACGTACATGCCTCAATCTTCACCCTCAACAAGCTTGACGGTAACACCGTTTTTGCCGTCACGAGCAATCTGGTACTTGCCACCGAGGACAAGGTCCTTGGCGACAAGCTCGCGCGTGCGGCCAAGGGACTCAATGTCACCGATACGCTGGATCGTAGCCTCCAGATGATCCCGGAAGCCCTTCTCGGCGCAGATCTCTTGGAACGCGCGGTGCATCGGTACAGATGAGGCGCGGACATCAGCATTGGCCGCGATACTAAACAGGTTGAGCCGGTCCATGTCACGTATGAAGTCGGCACGCGTCATGATTTGCTGAGCCTTGTGCATCGGGAACCTGGGCAGTACGTGACCCTTTTCGTCGTCGTACAGCTCCATGTCTTCTTCCTCATCTACGAGGGCTTGAGCGAGAACCATAGCGCCGGCCTATCATTTGTTGTCAGTTCAGATCGTCCACTAGCGTTCCCATGCCAGCTTGCGACGATGCGGAAAGGGGGGTCGTTACGTACAGCCCACTTCTGCTGGTCCATCACATCGTCGTCCATCTCCGCGCCGAGAATCCAGCACTGGTTGAGGAACCATGTTTTCTCGACCTCACAGATGGATTTGCACGTAGCAATCATATCTCTGCTTTTAGCAACGCGGTTCAAGAACGAGAGTCGGCCGCCCACGAGGTCATATACCTCCTCAAGTCTCGTTGGGCTCAACTTCTCGTTGAAGTATTTCATGCGGTACTTTGCAAGAGCTGCGATAGCTTGGCGTTTGGGCAGGTCGCGCACCGACATGATCTCCATACGCGTAGCCAGTTGCTTGAATCGCTCGTATACCCAGTAGTCATCCGTGTTGAAGACCATTGTCACGAGGTTGGACGCCGCCCACTGTTCGGCACGTTGCTGAAGAAGTTCGATCAAGTCCTTGCCATCGTCATCGTCGCGGATCAGGTGCATCTGGTTGATGATGACAACCAGGGGCTTCTTTCGCGTTTCACGGTTGACCAGAGCAACTTTTTCAAGCTTGTTGAGGGCACGTTCGATATCCAACAGAGCCGTCGTGTCGCGAGGACCGCGTTCGCTGAAGTAACCGCCAATGTAATCCTCATGGAACTCAAAGTCGAGGGCCTTGCCGAGGCGTATGCGCACAATTTCCAAGTCTGCGTGGGCCTCAAACATGGCCACGCCTTCGCCGTCGATTTTACGCATGGCCTCGATCAGCATGCTGCTCTTGCCGGTCCCCTTCTCGCCCATGAGCAAAAAGTAGTGCCCAGCCTCTGACCCGTCGATAATTCTATCGACGCGTGCCTGCTCTGGCCGCTGCACCCACCGATCATCGGCCTCGGCGGAGGTTTGCGGCACTTCCTTCCCAATAGCGGCCAGCTCAAGAACGGGGTCACCAGGCGTGAAGGCGCGGGTCATCTTCTTCAGGACAATGCGCTTGTACGTCTTGTGGTAAGCATAGCCTGCCACTGCGAAGCCGACAGCAAGGACGAGAATGGAGGCGAACGACGTCGCGGCGGACTCGAGCATCTTCTTGGGAAGACTATCGCCGCCATCTTGGGCTCTAGGAGTGGTAGGTTCTGGCTTTGAGCTTGATTGTGGTTGATCTAGGTTGAAGGTCAGCTCTTGTTGCAACGACAGGAGGATCTTTCACTGGAGATTCCTCTTCATTGGCCCAAAAGGCAAAGTCCGTTCTACTAGACAGTGCATTGGTGATGGACATTACAAGCAAGATGTGACAGCAACCGGTTCGCAGCCTGATTCGCTGTGGAAACCAGTCGAGATCTGATTTGCAGCATCTTGGCTTGCAGGATCGGGTCTTCGGCTACACAGAGATGTAGCATCCCTGTCCAAAACACTCAGGAAGCGGATATCTGGCGCCCAGCCTCGCGCAGCAGTACCCCATTGGGCTTCTTGCAGGTGCCGCATCACATCCATCCCGCCAACATTGCATGGAGGAAGAAGCTGAAGCTGCCACGCAGAGAGTGGAACCGCGCAGCGACGACAAGAAAGGTTGGGGAACTTGGAGAGGTACACACGAAGAAATGAGAACGTACGCGCACCAACTCACCGGATCTTGCTGGCGGGTGTGTGGAGAAGCAGGCGGCGGCTGTCTTGATGTTGACGGCCGATGAAGGTGGTGGTGCCAATGCCGGTGCCGTCCTTGCCGGTGCTGACAGCGGCCCCCAAGAACTGCGGCCGAGGCGGCAGCCACGCGTTCCAACCCACCGGGTCGGAGAGGGGCGCAAGTGCGACAGCATACGCTGCCCACCCTTGCTCGCCAAAGTCATTGCTATATTATGTGATGAGCATCTGCAGGGCCTGCTGCGGCTCGATTCCGATGGCGACGGGTCGCTGAGAAGTCCTCGCCGAGTGAAAGAGAGCGTCTCGGAGCGGAGGGGGGGAAAGGCCGGCCGGCAGGTTCTGGCGGGCAGTAAATGTGGTGTAGAGAATTAAGCAAGGCACAGCGGAGAGTGCGAGATTTTGTGTTTATGGAACAGACAACAGGGAAATTAAAGAGAGAAAGAAGAGAACAGGACAAAGAGTCAGTGTCGGTCAAGCCACAGGGGAAAAAACAGGAAACACAACACGTCGGTGCTACGAAAGGAGAGGACTCCGAGAGCTCCTGCTACATCTTTGGCCTTTCTTGGCATGGTTCTTGACCTTCTTTCCTTGGCATTGGCCCCTGCCCAGCTGAGACGAACCCAACTGTGGCGCCCCTAGTACATCACGTGATGGTACCACTCCCAAATGTGGCTGGTGCTTTCTTCACCTCACCTTAGGTAAGCAAATCAAGGTTCCGGATAGGAAGTTCAGGTAGCTATGGAGCCAACCATCACGACAACAGACCGTTGGCGAAGCTTCATCAACCCATTGTCTGCTGAAGCAAGACATCAGCTAATTGTGCCACAAAGTCGAGCCTTACCTTTGGATTCTATAATCTCTCTCATCGGTTCTTTTATGAAACCAAAGTGTTGTTCATGTCTTTTCTCTTCATCCTATGGTCTATTGACTTACCTCATCTCGCTCGACTGATTGATGTACGGATAGATACTTACTCACATATCAGCAGTGTCGTAATATACTTCATCCATGAGACACACGAAGAATGGTGCTAGGTTTACATAACTCGAATGAACTAAGGGTATTACTGTGATCTGCATGTCCTCCTCATCTAGGTTCAATCGTTACTTATTGTCTGATCAATTTCTTCACTAAAAGTTTTTTTGGAGCCTCCTTCTTTCTTTGCAACATGATAATTCCTGGTATTCAGTTATTAGGCTTAAAAGTGTAAACGAAGTAGTACTATTCCGAGTCAAGACAAATATCATGTCACACTCAAGACAAATCTACGCTTCGAGAGCTCAAACCGTACATGTTGCATTGTACTACGTGGTCAGTTGAGCAGGTTTGTTTTTATATAGACTAATCCACCTCAGCTTTCACGTTGCCAATGTCCACAGACCGAATTTCCTCACCGATCATCTTCAATTCCTGAGGCAGGCCTGTGCGGTGAGTTCACCATCGTCCCTTCCCTCTCAGTTCCCCTCTGCCCGACGCGCCTGCCCATCACGCGCTTCACTGTTTATTTTCCCTCCCACAGAATTATTTGCATTCTGGCATCTCCAACTACCGCAAACACCACGCTTCTCACTTCCTCCCATTCATCCTCTTGTACACTAACAACCCCATCTCTTGGTCCTCCGCCCCTCGCATTAGATATTGTCCTTCTACGAGCTTCAGCACTACTCTGCGATTGGCCATATTGGAAGGCTTTGTGTAGCCGCCTTTCTTTTGTTGTTGAGACCGAGAGAGTATGTCACCAATGTTCCGTCTTTTACGATATTCTCGAACCCTGACTGATCTTGGTGCAGATTCTCCCTGCTCGACCAAAGTTTTGGGGCTTGAACAACGAGAATCCTGCTTGGATCACACTATCCTCTATCGGCTTCATTGTACCAGCTTTTCGACTTGCTTCGCTGCTTCTGTCCAATCCATCGATTATCTTACACGAAGCTCCTCCATTTGCCAGCTGTGCTCCAGCCTCCAGCGCAACAATGACTCCAAAACCAAAGAAAAGCAAGAGCTCGCAGCTTTCACGTTATCGATCAGATTCCGCTCACTCACTTGCACACACTGCGAACACTACTCTCCAGACTCCTCCTTCTACTCAGTCACAGCCCCGTCCATCGACTCCAGGAATCAATGAAGCTGATCGATCCACTCCGCTCTCGAGGCTCTTTCGACGTAACCGAACCAACACTTCACTCAACGCCGCTCACCAGCTAGCCATGGAAGCCCCCCCTTCCAAAATCGAGGGCAGCTCACCAGGACCAACTCCGGCCCCAGCTCCACCTCCGCCTCTTCCCACTCCCCTTCTGGCGGGATGCCCAGGCCGCGAGATCACGGGCG